AACAGATTCTTTACTTAAATTTATTCATTATCTATTGACTTATCTTGATCAAGATCAGTTTACAAACTTTCCTAAATTACTCTATTTGGTTTGAAAGTTAATGAGATTAGGTCTATATATAAATAATTATGCAATGTGTCTAATATGTAATAAATTATACAAATATAATAAAGTAATAACAAAAAAGCTTGAACAAATTCCAATATATTTTTATTATATTTTTGTAGAATATTCTAATTACCCAATGTTTAAAATAAGACAACCTTGTAATCAACTATTGGCAAAGAAAGTACCTACAAAAGATGGAATATTGTATTGTTCTTTGCTTTCTTAACTAATAATAAATATTAAAAATTAACTCCAGTTATTATATAGCCAAAGAGGATTTGAAGCATTATGCAGAAAATGGATTAATAGAAAAATAAATAATAATTATTTTGCTGATATCTATAAAGGTAATATATAAAAGATATTTAAAGATCAAGATACAAATTTCTTTACAGCTAAGCATGCCAATACATATTTAGGCCTTATAATTAATTTAGACTGGTTTAGTCCTTTTTAAAATTTTATATATTTTACTAAAGCAATATATGCAGTCATTTGCAATTTGTTCTGTAAACTCAAATTCAAGCCTTAAAATATAATTACACTTGCATTATTATCAGGGTTAAAAGAAGTTAAATTACATTACATTAATCATTATCTTGCACTTTTAGTTGATCAATTACTTGAATTGTGAAATGAAATAGAAATTACTACAAATAAATTATCTATAGATACAAAAAAAATTAAATGTATTGTTATATGTTACTCATGTAATATTCTGGTTGCTAGAAAGTTATGTGGACAAATATCAGCAAAAATTGCTTGCTTTCAATATGAAAAACATACCCAGTTTGATGCTAGACATTAATCTAACTTTGGTAGATTTGTAGATATGGATGACTAGTTTGTAGAGTGTAATGTTGATGAAATTAAAATTAATGCATATGCATGTTTACAGTGCAAGACTGAGGATCAAAGAAAAAAACACCTATTCAAACACTTTATTAGATGGTCAGAACTTTATCATCTTCTCTATTTTAATCCAGTTAAACATATAACTGTAGACCTAATGCATTGTTTATTTTTGAAAATTGCAAAATGAATTGTTATGTAGCTATGGATAGAAGGTGGAAAATTAAGTCCTAATAGTCTAAAACTTATGAATAAAAGGGCAAAAAAGTTACAGCTTCCATCAGATATTAAGAGAATTCCTTATAAAATTGACACAAGAAAAGGATTCTCTGGATACATTGCAGACTAGTAGTGAATATTTATAATGATACATGCTACTACAATTACTTAGAATTTATTAATAGAACCAAACCAGCATATTTTTGCAAACTTTGTCAAAGCATGTAATCTGTTAGTTTGCAGAATATTAGACAAGAAGACACTTAATAAAGCACATCAAAGATTATTAAATGTAGCAAAATTAATAAAATGCTATTATAATCCTGAAAAAAATACTCCTAATATTCATTTAAGTTTACATATATAAGAAAATTGTATAGATTATAGTTCATTATATTTATTTTGGTGTTTTTCTTTTGAGCACATGAATGAAATATTAGGTAAATATTAGGAATATTATAACTATAATTTATATACAACATTATTTTTTGTAATAATATTTATAATTATATTTTGTAAGCTCATATAAGAGTAGTCATAGGTATATAAAACCAGAACTTATAAGAATTATTTTTGTAAATAACTGTTTAGACCAAATTGTATTATATGCAAAAAATAATAATAGATTATTTAATTTTTTAAAAATATTAAAGGAAAGAAAATCAAATAGCAGTATAGATATTTTAGATAAATTTGAATTACAAGATCTTTTTCAATTTTATAAATTAAGAAATCTTATTAATAAAGAAGAAGCTTTTGATGATAAACTATTTTCTGGTATATTCTTTGATTCAAAAATAGAAAATACTATGTTACCACTTAATATATTAGATCTTTTAGTTGAATACTATAATAATACAGTAATAGATTATCAATTTGTTAAACCTGGAGATATATATACAATTGGTCAGATATCTGTATCTTTTATTATTAATCAATATGGATAATTAAAGTTGGAATTAGAAATTTTTGAATCTACATTTTCAGCCTGCTATACTAAATCTTCAAGAATTCTAACAAAATTTGTTGCTTCAGAAAATGAAACAGTAGATTCATATCCTGGTCAAGTTTAATTCTATTTTGATCATACTATTTATCTTTCTTCTAGCAATCAAATATATCATTTGCCTTTGTAAGATGCTATAAACCTGCTGATAATTATAAAACATAGTTTCATATAAAAATTAATAATGATGATTTTAGTTATAATGTAGAGTTGTAAGACCAAGAACTTTATGTGTTAAGCAGGAACTGTATAATTCCTATATATCAAATCTATTGTCAGTTTATAACAAGTACATATACTATTGGAAATATATCTTCAAAAACATACATGTCAGTAATTTTTTTATATAGAAAGTATCATTTATAAATGTTAATATATAAATTAGTATTAATAAATACTAATATATAAATCAGTATTAATAAATACTAATATATAAATCAGCATTTATATATTGTAATTTGGGCTTCAGTAATTCAGTTGCTACTCTAATTCAACTCTTGCACAACCTATGGCAGCTAAGTTGAAATAGGTATGTTAGATTTGGCTAATAGTTTATCTATAGGTAAGTACTACTCTTCTCTGCTAAGTCCTTCCTTTAATCTATTCTTCTATTAACTCTTGCCTTCTCTTGTTCTCTTTTTACTTTCTTAACGTAAGGTTATGATATATCAAATTAGGTTAAAGTCCTTTTTTTCATTTAATGACTTAGTTACGTAACTTGTAGCAAATGAACAAAATGTGGTTAGATGAGTTATAAATGAATAGACAGTATAGATAACAAGAGTCTTTAATAATAGTTTTTAGTTTGTGTTAGGTTATAGTTCTACTTTTAATATGAGCTCAATACTTAAGTTTATTATGCACAAATGTATTTACTTAGGAGTATCATTGTTGTTTTTCTTTTCCCTATGTAGAAAGCCCTTTATTTATAATAAAACTTTTATTTACATTTAAGGATTATTTCCTTTACATTATCTATTTATAATAGTTCATCTCTAAAACCCATTTCTTCATTATAATAACTAAAAACCAAATGCCCTATATACTGTCATTCTATTTAAAGTAATAAATATAATAAATATAATGAAAGTAAGAAAAGTAAGATTTCTCTTACTTTTCATGTGACCAGTTATTTGGGTAAGTGATGGGACCTAATTTTAATAATCAGTCATATGAGACTATGACTGATTTGGGGGCTTACATTTCTCTTTCATTTAGTTTATTTGTATTATATATAAATAGGAGTACCACAGAAACTTTAAGTCATCATGTTTCAGTAATAAGTTTTTCATAGATTGATTGCAAGAGATAAGTTTTTTTTTTGTTCGTCTTCTTGTTTTTGATTCATTTTACTAACATCTAATTTTTGTTTATTATTCTGTTTAGGTTTGTCTTTCTTTTTGAATAGCAGTTCTAATTTGATCAGCTTTGTTTTGATTTTATTAGTCTTTTTTTCTCATGATAGCTCTTCTTTTAGTAACATTGGTTTAGGTTTTTTCAGTATTGGATCTTTTTAGAAGGTGGGTTTACCTAATTTTTTCCATCTATTTGTTTTTTTGTCTTAATTTAGTTTTTCTAATTCTTATAATTTTTCTTCTACTCTATTAGGGTTGAATCATTTACTTTCTGCATATTTAGCCTTAAGCATTCCATTATTGTCACCAGACCTCACAGATTTTTAACAATGTCTAAATGACTTATTTTTATTCATTTTAATTCTAACTTCATTTTGATAGCATTTATCATTGTTTATTGCACCTTCTTTGGCAGGTTTCTTTTCTGTAAGTCCTTCTTTCTGTCCATTTATCTGCTGAAATTATTTAATCTTATTTACCTATTTATCATAGGCTTTTTCAAAATTTCCAAAATCTAATAATCTTAGTCTTTAAACCTTCTCTGACTTTTCATTTTCTTTTTTAAAAATAATTATCTTTCTATTGTCATTGTTGTCAGTATCATCATTAATTTGAATTCCCCTTTAGTGATCTCAGATGGTCTTCTAACCACTTTCTTTTTGTCTTCTGAATCAAGTTTTTGATAATAAGCAGGTGCCTTATGTTTTTCTTTTTCTACTCTGATTTCTTTATTTTCATTCTTTTTGACTTCTATTCCTTTCTTATAACAGGACCCAATAATGTACTTTCAATACAGTTAACTCGACTCTGCAGCTTTTGGATAATGAAAGTTTGTTCTAGATTCATCTGTTTTAGTTTTTTGAATATATCCAATTCAGGCATTCAGATTGTTAGGGTTTTTAAAATAACTATCAATCAAGTCTTCTAACTCATTGCCCAAGTTATCTTGGCTATTCATTAGTTTTCTAAGTTCTTGTTTAGCCTTTTTAGCTACACTTTTAGAATATTTTTCATTCAGTTTAAGTGGACCTTTGAATTCCTCTTCCTAGCAGAATCTAACACCATTTTGTCTATACAAACTGCCCTTTTCATTATCCTTTTTAAGTTTGCTCTTTTTAACTTCAATTTTATTTTTATCACAAGATTTAACATAATATGTTCCATCAGCATTTTCTATTTCTGTAGATTTTTGATAGTATTCAAAGGCTTTATGTTTACTTTTTTTGACACTAGTCCTGTTTTAATAACATGTTTCAACTTTTCTTGTTTCATTAATGTTAGAGTTCTTAACCTCTACTTCAGAAACAAGATAGAAGTTAATTATCTCATTAATTGGATCCTTCTTGAACAAGAATAGTGTCAAGTGGACTTTCAGACTTGGAACTACTAAAGGCATGAGAGATGAACCTTTTTTTTCTACAAGTAGGATTGGTTGAACATATGAGGGCAGATATAAATAGTCTTCTTTGTTATTATTATCCAGGTTGTTATTCAAGCTAATATTCTTTAATATAGTTAAAAAATATTTTAAGGCTTGTGAGTCATAAAGGCTATAGTCTCTTATGGTTTTGTTTACCATTTCATAGACTTCTATAGTTTGTTTTTGGGTAAGTGTATTTAACAGCTCTAAACATTTCAGCTGCATCCTTCTTATTTTCAGACAATTACTAACATCATGGGTTTCTTTTCTACAATAGAAGTACCAAAGTTTTTGTCAAAGGTTTCATTTGTCAGTTGGAATTTTCACAAAGCTTGTGATGTTTGTGCCTTTATCATTCAGGCTTCATCTCATCTTCAAGGTTGTTTAAACTTTAGTAACAAGTAAGTATCATTTATTTTTTTGTCTTTTGCAATAAATATACTAAAATTCTTATTCTTATTTTTAAACACTAATTCTTTTCATATCTTACAGTCACTACCAAATGTAATTCAGACTTCAGTAATTCAGTTGCTACTCTAATTCAACTCTTGCGCAATCTACAGCAGCTAAGTTGAAATAGGCATGTTAGATTTGGCTAGTAGTTTATCTGTAAGTAAGTACTATTCTTCTTTACTAAGTCCTTTCTTTAGCCTATTCTTCTATTAACTCTTGCCTTCTCTTGTCCTCTCTTACTTTCTTAACATGAGGTTATGATACGTTAAATCAGATTGGAGTTTTTCTCTTCATTTAACAGCTTGGTTATATAACTTGTAATAAATGAACAAAATGCAGTTAGGTGAGTTACAAATGAATAGATGATATAGATAATAAGAGTCTTTAACAATAGTTTTCAGTTTGTGTTGAGTTATAGTTCCACTTTTAATATAGGCTTGATATTTAAGTTTATTATATGCAAATGTATTTACTTAGGGGTATTGCTGTTGTTTTTCTTTTCCCTAGATGAAAAGCCCTTTATTTATAATAAAACTTTTATTTACATTTGAGGATTATTTCCTTTACATTATTTATTTACAATAGTTCATTCCTAAAATCTCTTTTCTTATCATAATAACTAAAAACCAAATGCCCCATATATCATTATTCTACTTGAAATAATAAATATAATAAATGTAATAAAAGTAAGAAAAATAAGATTTCTTTTACTTTTCATATGATCAGTTACTTGAATAGATGATGGAACCTAATTTTAATGATCAGTCATGTGAAACTGTAACCAATTTTAGGACTTACAATATATATTATCTTTATATTTTTATCATATTAAAATTAAATACTTTAACTATTAAAATATTTAAATAAAATTATAATATGTTACATATAACTTATAAAAAAGCTGCTACTCATATACATATATATTATTCATTAGCATATGTATCAATTTATTAGTATTTATTTAAGTATTGTTAAATTTCAATGTTACTAAGTGATATTTATATAGAAATAAAACTATTGTAAATAAAATATATATTACACAAATAATATTAGATTTTTTATTAGATTTTATCAAACTTTAATTCTAATATTAATAATATAAATATAGATGACAAGCTATTATTATTACATCAAGACAATATTAATATATGTAACCTCAATAACCTGTTTTACTTGATCATACTGTAATCAGAAGGACCACAGGATGATCATTTCATAGGACAAATCAAGTAGATATCTAACCTGGGTCTCAGGTTGCGAGCACAATAAAGTCAAAGCAAGATACACTGTTATTGGATATAAAACATTCAATAAAGATTTATTTTTATATAACAAATAAATTA